CTTTCTTTCTTTTCTTGGCAATCAGACACAAAGAGCAAAAAGCATCTAAAGGAGAGTGGGGAGAGTGATGGCCTTGCAGAGCTAGGGAGGGACAATCCACACACCGTGTATTATTTCTGTGACAAGTGTGAATGTGTTTTAAATGTCAGCCACTGTAGCAGAACCCACTGTCTACACACAGAAGCAAGCAGTATTTTTGATTTGCTGACACAAAAACAGCTCCCTTCCTCTCTTGCTCTTCTGAGCAGCAGCTGCCCGGAGTACATATAAGAATGAGAGAGGTGCTGGCTTTCTTGGGAATCAAGTGGAGGAAAGAGCTTTGTGAATTCATGGTGGGCTGCTCTGTGGGAGGAGGAAGGAACGTCCATCACTCTGGGATAACAGGATTAATGCCAATCCCACACATCTGTGTGTGCTCTGGGGTGCATCTACCACCAATCTACAAGCCCTTTCCAAAAGCTAGCATGGAATGGCATCTGCACTGTGCAATGTTGTGACCCACTCTGCTTCCCTGAAGGTGGGCTTGAAAATGTATATTTATGTATATGTGCCTATATGCATGCACAAAGCACATAGATAAATGTCTTTACACTATTAAAATTAACTACTGCTTTGCCTCTGTTATTTTCCTTTTTTTTTTTTTTTTTTTTGGAAACCCCAGCTAATTGAAACAATACCCAAGTATTTATGTTAAAGGTAGTCCTTTTCAAACTCAGAGCTTCAAGAATATTTATAGAAGTATATGCCAGGGTTCTTGGTTCTGATCCACTTTTTAAATATATATTTTCCTGAAAATGAAACATACATGCATACATTTATAGACACAAATACAGCCAGCAACAGTCAGGCCTGTCCTTGAGTAATTTCCTTGACATTTAGCTTTGAAAAACCATCTTTGACAATCTTCAATGACCATGTGGTAGCCAGGGCCGTGTCCAAACCACCTGAGTTTGGACTGCCCTTTTTGCAGTCAGCACTTTGATTGTTAATTCACTCCAGATACCATCACTTCTCATCTGGAAGGATCTAATGCACCTTGTCAGCATGCAAGCCCCTCACAAAATAAAACCCATGCAGGTTCCCCCAAGGTGATCTTTAAAGATGAGTTATGAAAGATGACTGAAACAGTATTTGAAACACTGTGTTACTCATACTATTTTCCAAACACTCTGTGGAAACACTGCATTTCATGTCATGAAATGTCCAATGAAAATTATTAAGAATGCTAGAAGATGAATTAGCCTTTTCAAAAATGAATCTGACACTGGCATGCTGTACTTCTAAGCATATAATGCATTATCAAGAGTTCCTGATGTTGCCAAGGAAAAGCTTTATGTTAAACATGAAGTTTTTCATCCTCATACAGAGGATGAAATTGCATGGAATTCCCAGGATGAAACAATAGGGCTTTGGGCTTTCCATCTTTAGTGATGAGTGCATGAGAAATTTGGGGTCAGACCCACAAAGGCTTAGACACATGTTTATCTCCATATGTAACTCATGCCTGCAGCTCATGGCAGCATTTGGCCCCTGACACAGTTGTTTCAGCACAGAATCTGTACTGTAAAGCCTGGGATGTGAACTTGTCCTTGCTGCAGTCACTGGGACGTTCCCTGGGAGCAAAGTGAGTTTATGTGAGCTGGCAGAGCTGGCCTGTAAGGGCTAAAATAGAAAAATACCTGCTAAGATGATATGAATTTTAAAATAGTGCCTTTCTTGAACTTCAGAAGAGAGAAATGAAAAATTCTTTAACAGCTTTATGCTATTTTTCAATATTTTACTCTTTACTGTGCTATCGTCCCAAGGCCCAAATGAGGTTCCCATTTAAGGTTTCTTTATACCACATTAAGCAAATTATCACTTCTTGGATTCTAACCATCTTCTGTATTTTTCTAGAGAGTTTTAACTTCAAAACCTTGAAGCAGTATGAGAACATGGCCACACTCAGTGGCATTGAATCCTGACACCAACTCTAGCAGTGGTTTGGGCAAGAGTGATAGTTAAATCACCCATCCTCTCTTTGGTGTCACCTTCCACACCAAGACAGGTACTTGAAGTTTGCACCATGACAGAAGTCATGATTTTAAACAGCTTTTGTGAGACAGGAGCGTTAGAGCAGGAAGACTCGTAGATATTTCAGAAAATAGAAAGTGTTTACCAACTCTCTGAAATATAAGATTGGTTTTGCTTTATATTTACTGCAAAAAGAGCCACACAGCATCAAGCAGATGATGATGAGGCTGTTGGGACACAAGCATTTGGCTGCTGCATCTGGCACTAGCATGGGATGACAGAATCATTGATCGGGATTTAATTTTAATTTCTTGTCCTAATTTGTATTTCCCTATTACTGTTTGCTGTGTTTCAGCCTTGTGGGTTTGGGATCTGACCAAAAGCCAACTGAAAGCTCAAACCATTGAAAGTCCAGCATTTCTCTCTTTCCTCCAAAATATGGAGCAAAAATAAACACCCCACCATCCTGATCTTTCCCCTCACACATTTATCCACTGGAAAATGTCTGCTCCTCACAAAATAGGCATGAGTACCACAGAATTGTTTATGTCATATTTAGAGGAGACTCTGGCCACAGCTTTTCCTTTGGTCACTCACAACAATTAAATGGATGAGGGTGAGTGTGTCACTCTCACAGAAAGAGAACAGAACAAAAGGAGTAGCTGAAGCCTGAGTTCCTCACAGGAATGGCTTTGAATCTTTGTGTATGTGTGGGAAGAGCTTCCTTGATACCATCTGCTTGAAAATAAGGAAAAATAAATGAAGAGCAGGGAAGAGAACGGTTTTTGCCCTTGTACTCTCAGGGTTTAATAAAATGGAGGAATCAGCAATAGTGCAGGCCTGTGAGAAGGAAACAGAGAAATTAACTGGTGGTCCACTATTTCTTTGCTCTGTAATTATTTTATTAAAAAATAACAGCAGCCCACCTAGCCATAAGGAGGGTTTTTTTTGGTGTCTGGAACAGAATTAGTCCCAATGGGATGGTGAAGCCTAGTTTAACACAGCCTTTTAATGAGACATTCCAGTATGAGAAACTGGCACAAGCTGACAAGGGTATCTTCATTTCTGTTTGAAATTGTTGAACTTACAGTTTTTATCTGCTAATGTGCAGAAAGCCACAGTTTACATTTCTGCCTGATCTGAGAAGTACATCTGTGATCGTTCCTTTCCACGTGCAGTGCCTGTGCAGAAAGAGCACTCCACCTGCCAGGGAATTCAAAACGTGTAGTTCCACACAAGTCTCTGAATTAAAATGTGTCAGGGAGAGAGACTAGGGTTAAGAAATTATGCTTTACTTTCTCCAGAACATAATTATGGGGAAGCAGTTCAGAACATCCAGATTAGGTTATCAAGCAGCCTAATTTAAACACGGTCCCATCCTCAGACAATAAATAATGTACATGTGGTGGGCATGAGTCATCACTCTTGCAACAGCGTCTGGAGCTCCCTACTTTGCATGATTTATGCATTAAAATGTAAATGAAAAATCTTCCTTTCTTATAATGTGAATTCATGCGAGAGGTCATTTATAGACATTACTTAGATTAGCTTAGAACTTCTCTGAGGTCACAACCACCTGTGGGGCTCCGGAGGTGTGATGCAAAAGGAAAGAGGGGGAGAAAGGGAAGCTTTAGCCATCCTTTGAGGGCTGAGCCCTCAAATCTTTGCCCATCCTCCTCTCCCCATCTCGGAGCTGCGTTAGTCGGTGTCTCGGGGCCGCGGGTCTGCTGTCGCAGCAGCGAGGGGCTGCAGGTGAGCTCGAGAATCGCTCCGAGCAGCCCGGAGGGTGTGACAGCCACATTTCCACTGCTCTAAGGATGTGCGCTTTCCCCCAGCGTCTAAAATCCGGCTGCACGGCCAAGCCCTGCCTAGCCCGGGCTGGTTTAGTCTCTAGTGAGACGTGGGACAAACTCTCGGCGTGTTCCCAAGCGGAGGCCGGGCAGGGCTCTCCCGTAAGGAATTTTCCTAAGGAGCCCCACAGCAGGTGGGCGTTCGGCCGCGGCTCCCCGGGCAAGCCCCGCCGGAGGCAGCGGAGGACGCGGCGCCAGCGCTCTGATCCCTCCGATTAAACCGTGCCTGGAGGGAGGGGATTGCTTCTTAACAGAAGCATCCGGATGGATGCGCGCAGAGTAATTGAAAATCACCGAATCGCTGTTTAGTCATATAATGCTCTTAAAATTGAACGCACACTTAATCCCCAGTGCCCTCGTAACGACTGGGAGGGGAGGGCGGCGTGCGGGAAGGGGGAAGAAGAAGAAGAAGAAGAAGAGGGGAGGGAGCCCGGGTCTGAGCCGGGCAGGGTACCAGCGCCTGGCTGGAAGGCGCACTGTCGCCTCCTGGGCTCGGTGGTGACAGAGCCCAGCCTGCCCGGGGGAAGCCCATCCTTGTGCATCGCACAGCTCCGCTCCGGCCGCACCCGCCCTCGCCCATCCTCCCCGCAGCTCAGGAGGGCGGGCGGCGGCACCGCAGCGGCGGCCCGGCAGTGCCGCGTCCCGTCCCTCCCCGGGGAGCCCCGCGGGACCGGCGGGACACGGAGAGGGCGAGGGGAGCGCCCCTCATCACCTCGCATCACCTCCACCGGCGATGCCGCCAGCGCCGCGTCCACCCCCATCCCGGCAGAGTGACACCGGGCTTTGTTGAGGTGAGCGGTCACCTCCGGGCAGCTCTGCCTGTCCCCGGCCGAGGCCGGCAGCCCGTTCCGCACAGACAGCATCGCCGGGACTGCCAAGGAAGTTTCCGTGCGGGACAGCGGAGCCAGCGCGGCGAGAGGCGGAGCAGCCGCCCCGGAGCTCCAGCTGCGGTAGGGGACGCGTGCGGGAACAGGGCGGCATCTGGCGAGCTGGCCCAGGTGGAGCGACAGCAGCTGGTTGGAACGGGGGAGGGGGGAGGAAGAGAGAAGGTGGAGAAGCGGGCGGGGACAGGAGGAGATGGGGGAGCCGGCGAAGGAGGCGGCAGCGGCTTCTGTGCATCGCTGCCTCGTCCCCCCGCTCGCCGGCTGAAGCGCCGCGCTCTGCTCGCCGAGCTCGGAGGTGCCACACGGGAGCCGCGCGTTCTTTCGTGGATTCGCCGCGCAGCTATCGGGAAAAGTGGCTGTGCGCGAGGTGAGGGCTGGCGTGTCCGTGTGTCTGTCCGTGCGGGCACCGGGAGCGGGGCAGCGCGGCCGGCCCGGTGCTGCCCGGTGCTGCCCGGTGCTGCCCGGTGCTGCCCGGTGCTGCCCGGTGCTGCCCGGTGGCCGCCGCCGCTCCCCCGCGCAGCGCGGTGGCAGCAGCGCTCGGGAAACTTTGTGCGGTCCCCTTTGTGCGCAGGGAGCCGCGCTGCGCCGCTGCTCGCCCCCGATCCAGCGGCTGTCGGCGCGTCCGGCTGCGTTCGGCATCAATATTTATTTACAGGGCTCGGGTATTAATCACTCTACGGCGTGGAAAGCTCATTAGCGGCGAGTTGTTTCCATGACGACGGGACCCCTCGGATCCTTCGGGTTTGTCTATTTGCCCGGTTTTCTCTCCTTTCATACTCGGACTGGTACCGTGTTTTGTCACGGGGGACAAAAACAAGCAAATAAACCCTGTGGCTCCCTCTTCGCTTGTTCTCCAACGCTGCACGATTTCCCCAGACTTAATTAAGGATACGCGGATGGGATTAAGGAAGTGTGAGAGTCATACAAGGTTTCTGAGTACTTGTTCTGCTGCATTACCTCGTTTAGCTGTAAAGCTCAAACTGAGATGCGGTCTGACTTGTATTCAAAGTACTCCTGAGACGTGTTAGTGCTAAAAACTGTTGATGTTACTTATCTTTCTGCTTGTGTGTCATTTGGCAGCACAGACCCCTTTGAGGAGCTTCCTGTTGCAGTCTCTGCTACAGCTGAGCTGGGAATCAGTGGTGACTTCCTATGTAACTTTGTCCTCGTGCTGTGGTGTGACCTTGACAGGTCTCTATAGGTTCTTCCTACCCCACTCTGCTCAACAAAAGGAAATGTCGCTCACTTGCACCTCTGCTCTGAGCTAATCAAGCCAAACACTTTATCTAAGATGGAATAGTGTTAAAATCGAGTATATGAGTGTATTTTCCTCTGTTACAAGGAGTGAACATATATTATATGTTCCTTTTCCCTAATGGTAATGGTAAAAATCCTCCTTTTTAACTCCAGTCTTTATTTAACATAGCACAATCCCCATGGTCTTCAAAAGATGTTAACTGTTACCATCCAGCTGAAAACAGCGGTTCTAAGGCCGTTTTAAATGCTTTCCTGGGTTAACATCTTCAGAATCGGGTAAAAATGAGAGTCTGAGTCACAGAGCATTCTGAAATTTGTGGAATATCCACTGTTACAAAGAGTACACCTCCAGTGAGAAGAAGCAAGAGTAAGGAAAGGATGTGCTGTGAAACTGAATGATAGTCTTGATCACTTGCCTTAGCCTTGCAACCTGAGAGGGACTTAAAAGATTTTTTTAGAGAGAATGAGCAAACACACACTTTTAACTATATGTTAGGTTAAACATCTGAAACTCTCCTGCAAATGTTCATAGTTTTGCAAGAGACAAGTTTAATAAGTAGCGGTATGTTGAGAAGCATTGGGAGTGTGTAAGGAATGTTTTAGAATATTGAGTTCTGAGACACTGCCCTAGAGACGTTCAGTTGTTGAGTGTTTCAGATTACAGGAGTGGGAAGTTAGAATAGTAGGGGAACTTCTGTGTGAAGCATGCATTCACCCCTTCTTAGTGACTAAACTTATAAAATGACTGTCTCTTTCATGTTGTGAGAGTCTATCCTCAGCTGGGTCCAGCAAAGTGCTAAAACATCTGCCTCATTCCAAATGCATTCAAGTAGATAAATCACACTTCAGGCTTTTACTGAAATACCCTAAAGGTATTTTTACTAAAATATCCCTAAGGCCTGTGACCTTCACTTCCGTATTCTGTTTTTTAGCAACTTACTAGTGAGATACCTGTCTGAAAATATTTCTTGTGAGTTGAGGACCATCACCAGCCCCTAGTTACCAGTGAAGTAACTTAATGACAATCCTGTGAAGAGAAAGAAGGAACAAAAATCTTAGTTGTCATCTTGTCTCCTTTGGATGTCATTGACTTACATTTCCATGCTGAATGATTAAATTTTTTACTACTTAGTGCTGCACAGGCATTACAAGTAGAGACAAAATGAGAGATTTTACTCTGTGCTTTACATTTCTAAAGCTCAGCCTTTTATTATTGGTGGTAGTAAGGGCAACAGATATTCCAGATGATTTTTCAGACCCTAGATGCCGGGGGGGGGGGGGGGGAATTCTTAGTTTTATTTTTTAAGACTGATAACAGGCAGCAAGAAAGATAATTTGTAACTAGCTCTTATTATTTTTATAGATACTTTCAGAACAATAATCACTTAAGATTGTGAGAAGGCATCTGAGTATGTAAAGCTGTTGCTGATAAAGGGGTTTTGTTTGAGGGAGTGGGAAAAAAGTACATAGACATGAAGGCTAAGACTATAAATATGGGTAATGATATTGGTTTGCATTGTGTTTTACTCAACATTATACTGAAGTAACTTGGATATAATGTACATTGGTTTTAATAAACAAAAATGCTTCTAATGGTGTTCAAGATACCTCAAATGGCTCAACCAGCCTTTTAGCACTTTGCTGGACCCTGCTCAAACTTTGCTGTTGTTTGGGTTTTTTTTTTTCTTTCCTGTTTTTAGGAGAGGGTTGGGCAGGTGAGTTTCCAGGTATACTTTTTGAGTTTATAAAATGCACGACATCATTTAACAGGAGCAAGTAACGGTGTTAAGAAGGTATGAGAGATGTTTCTGTAATTCGAGTTGGCAGCTCAAGTATATTCTTCAAAAGCTACTGTAAAGTGTTTATACTTCAAATGGTGGGGTACTTGATTTAGCTATAGGGTTTTTAGTTTGGTCTTAATTTCAAAATCATCCTAATAATCAATACTTCTGATAAACCAGTCTTTTAGATTGAGGCAGGATTGTTTCATATGGAAGGTTTGCAGATGAAAACCTGACTTTTAAAGTGATATCTCTTATATATGGTAGATTGACTTATGCTTTTCATTACAATGTAATGGCCAAACTTAAGCTAAAACAAAGACTGTATTTTTATATACCAGTGGTAATGTAAAACTCTCCTGTTTCTGTCATTTTATTCTTAAAAAAATGAACCTTCTTAAACATGAAGATATAAAAAAGCTCCTTTCTGACCTTTCACTTACTCACTGTAATTTTAATGAACCATGTATAATAATTTCAAAACTACTTAGGCTTTTAAGGCCCAAGTTTGAAACAACCCAAAGAAATCTGTGTTTTAAAAAATGCAGTCTGGAGGGATGCCTCTCCCTTGTCTGTGAGGTGCCTGATTATCCACATGCTCAAACTCTCAAGTAATTTTGGAAGTTTTGGACCTGGGTGTGTTTTCTACTTGTAAAATAGAGATGTCATCTCAAATTACTTTGAAATTCAAGTTCCTCCCATACCTGTATTGCTCAGAGTGCTGGGCTCAGCAGCATCTCAGCCATGAGATGCTGCTGCTGCTGTGCCTTTGCTCTTCAGCTGCCAGGATGGGCTGGCAGGGGGAAGGAGCCAGGGAGTGAAATTGGGATTTTCTCTGGGGATAAGGCAGGGAGAGGCCTCTCCTCTGCATGTGCTGCAGCACTCCTGCTTCTCCTGTGGGAGTCCATTGATTTGCAGGGTGACCTTTCCACACCAGTGAAGCTTAGCAGGCCCTCCCAATTTTCACACTTCATGCCAAGATCTCTGATGTTGCAGCCAGGGAGTCTGTTCCTGCTCTATTTGGAGGCAAGGGCAGAATTCTCACTGATTTCCATAGGAACAAGATGTATTCCTAAACATACTTCAGTAGCTAGAAAGAAACTTCCTAATAAAGAACCAAGCTCACATAACACAGAGCATGAAGCTTTGTTCTGAGCTTCACTTCAGAGCTCTTAACAGAAACAGGGCTGCAGACCAAGCACTGCAAGCAGCAAATCTCAGGGCATTCCTGGCACTGTCAAGGATTATTCACTCCCATTCTGCCCAGAGAAACAACTGAGGCTTCAGCAGGTTACTGATAAAACCTTATTTGTTCTAATGGATGCCATTTGAGGTGGTCCCAGGAGAGAGCAGTGAGGTGTGATGTAGTAGCTGTTGCACAAAGGATTTGCTACGTCAAGCAGAAAAGGCAGCAGGATTTCAATTCACCTGAAGAAACAAAATGCCCTCTCCCATGCTGATGTGGGAGACTCTTGGAAGTTACCAAGGAAAACTTTGGAATGCAATTCTGCTGCTCTGAGTCGTCTGCTCTAGCCAGACTAATTCCTAACTAAAACTTTTTCTTCTTCTTCTTTATTTGGATGGGGTTTTTTTGTTTTGTTTTGTTTTGGTTTTTTTTTTTAAGGTGGAGATGATCCAGCCCTCATTTTACTGACATTCCTGTGTTGCTGTTTCACAACAATGAATCTTTTCCAGTTGCAGGCTTTTTCTTTAAGAGGGGATCAAATGAATCACCTACAGGCTGGTGGAGGCAAGGGTTTCCAAATGTAACTCATCAGTATCTGTGATTCTTTTCTTTCCCAAATCCATGTATTCCATTAATTTTGCCACTAGAAAGGGACTGTTCTGTCCAAATAGAGCTGTCAGGGTGCAAGGAAGTGGTGGGAAGATATAGATTAGTGCTTTTGCCATCTGTGTTGCATTCCCATACATGAGAGCCTCAGGGCTGCTTTTTCACACAATTTTCAGCTTGTCAGAGTATAATTTTCTCTGGTTATCTCCCATCTTGGACTGGTTTGTTTTTGTGGTGAACATCTGGGGAAATATGTTTTTCCTCTTGTGGTGTCCTAACAGCATCAACATTTGTCAAATTCTTATTTACTTACTGCCCAATAGTTAGTATACTTATTAAAATTTTAAAAAGCTTTGTCTTGTAAAGCATGTAACATATGTGCTTTCCCCTTATGTCACTTTTCAGGCAATTACAATTTTAACATTTGAAATATCAACAAAAGTCTAGAGAGATGAAATTTTCCAAGGAAATTGCATCCACTTTAGACACTTTATTTTGAGTGGCAAAGAGAAGTGTTCAATATGCATTAAACTCCAG